AATAAATAAAATAAATAAAATAAACAAAATAAATAAAATAAATAAAATAAATAAATAAATAAATCTACCAAATATGTAAAAAGTCTATCACGACGAATTCAAATAAAATTTGATTAAAATGTAAGAAAATATACAAAATGAATGTAGATTTGTACATACATATGTATATGTATACATACATACATATGTATAATTTGAATATCTATTTTTTTTATCATTATAATATGTAAAAAGTTTAGAAAAATTAAGTGAATTAATTATTTAAAAAAATATATAAATCTCTGATATTTCATATGAAAAATCCATTAAATTTTTAATATGCCAAATATATTACAAGTTGAAGCATACACACACATATATATATATATACATGTATCTGATATTTAATATTTGTACAAATATTTGAAAATCTATTAAGTTGTTTAATGTGCCCAATATGTTAAAAGTCTGGCTAATAACTATGCTCAATATGGTCTGCAGAGAAGCGTAACTTGGTCTAGATTCATGCCTGACTAGGCGCCAAAAATGTGCAGTTATATGTATGTACATATATGTATATGTACATATATGATATATGCATATTTATCCATTTTATATTGTTTCTTCTTTAATTGAATGCATTTTCTATTGTATTATTGATTTAATAATAATAATAATATTGCTTAATATTAATTGGGGTTTTTCTTCTGTTTCTGTTTCGCTTTTTTATAGGGCGCAACGAGCTAATCGCGCGTTACATCAAACTGCGCACGGGCAAGACGAGAACCCGTAAACAAGTCAGCTCCCATATCCAAGTGCTCGCCAGACGGAAACTCCGTGAAATTCAAGCCAAAATCAAAGTCGTAAGTGTGCCAAATCTGTATATATACCACATACATACATATAGAGAAATCTACATATATACAACTATATAGTATATAGCATATAGCATATATTCCAAATGTGAAGAGCAAACAGAATATAGCAAACAATTTGCCATACGTTAATTGTCCACATGCTTTGCCTAAGTACATATACTACAATAAATTGTTTAACCAAGCAGAGTTAAGCTCACGTTCACACACACACACACACACTCCCTCTCTCTCTCTCTCTATCTGTGTGAGCTTAACTCTGCTCTGTGTATTTTGTTAATGTGGAAAATTTGTCGATAAGCAAATCTAGCCGAAGAGCATGAAAAGCAAGGAAGAGTTTCTCAGTTGCAAGTGGAGCCCAGTTCAATAGATCAGTCAACTGTGTATATATACATATATATATATCTATATGGTACACATCAGTTCATTATCACACACACACACACACGCCCATACACACAGTTGGCTTGTGTGCTGCGTGTATTGGTGCTAAGCGGAGTCTTGTGGCTTTCATATGTGAGTTTTCCCCCTTAGCCAAGTGACGTCTGATAGAATTGGATAATGCTTGAGTGTGTCGCCACATCTCTCTCTCTCTCTCTCCATCTACACACTGACACACACACACTGACACCCACACACACACACACACGAGACCCAACCAACAATATGACAATCTGTTTTCCAGGAACCAAATGGTGTCTCCTTGCATTTACTCAATGAGAAAGAGCAGACCCTGCAGGCCATGAGCTCAATGACCAGCTCACAGATTGTCTCCGCCCAGGCGGCCAATAATCTAGCGTTGGCCGCCTCGGCGCTCACGGCGGGCGTGCACCAGCACGCGAAGCACTTGCCGCAGCCCGCCCACCATCAGCATCCGCATCATGCGCACCTGCACCAGCACCACCACCACCATCATCCGCACCACCATCATCAGGTGGGCGTGGCGGCGGCTGCTGCTGCTGCCGCTGCTGCTGCCGCTGCGGCTGCGGTTGCCGTTGCACAGTCACCGGCGGCTGCGGCGGCAGCGGCGGCGGCGGCAGCTGCGGGTGGTGCTGGTAGTGGTGTTGGGGCTGCTGCTGCTGCTACTGCTGGTGGTGGTGGCGGTGGCGGTGGCGGTGCAACTGCATCCAGCAGCGTTGCACTGCCGCCGTCATCGTCGTCGTCGTCGCCGTCGCCACGACACCACCAACACCACCACCACCACCACCACCACCTACCAGCCCACCATTCCCATCACACTATGCCGCACCACACGCATAGCCATATGCATCCACATCATCAGCAACATGCGGCGGCCGTTGCAGCAGTTTACCACCTACAGCAGCAGCAACAACAACAACAACAGCAGCAGCAGCAACAACAACAGCAACAGCACCATCAGCAGCAGCAGCAACAACAACAACAGCAGCAGTCAAGTGGTGGAACAACAGGTGCAGTGTCACCATCAGTGGCCGAACCACCGCTGCCACCGCCGCCGCCGCCGCCACCGTTGCACCACCCGCCGTTGTATCCGGGCGTAAGCAATCAGAATCAAGTTATCCATGCTAAGCATACGAACCACTCAGAACCGCCAATATGCCACTTCACATCGGTGTACAAATTTCCACAACAACAGCAACAGCAACAAACAAACAAAAACAACAATCAGCAACAACTAACAGAAACAGCACACCTCTCTCTCTCTCCGTCTCTCTCGCTCGCTCTCAGGGCTCTCGCCTAGACTCGTCCTTCCGTCACATTGCCTTCACATCGTTAACCCCCCATTGGCCACCCACACGCACACATGCACACACACTCACAGCCACGACTCACACTCATTAGTTGTAACAACAATTCATTAGCTGATCGAACTGCTATACTTCAGGTCTGCTCTAATTGCGCTTGCTGGCTGGATCATCGGGTCATCGCATCATCGGATCATCGGATCATGCGTTTCGTGTATTTGTGTATTGCGCTCGTTTATGTTTGTGTACTCATGCTGTCTCTCTCTCTCCCTCGCTCTAGCCTTAGCTTCTGCTCTCTCTCTCTCCATCTTCATCTGTTGGTGTCTGTCTCGCCCTCTATTTCTCATGTCATTTCGTTTCCTTGTCGTCTTCTAAATCGTGCTGATCTCTGATCTCTGATCCCCGATCTGTGATCTTTGTCTCTGTATTTGCATTTGCTTTTCTCTCGCTCATCGTCTCTATCTCACTCTTTTGCCTTCTTTATCTCATTCTCGTTCTCATTTTTCTCAATCTCCATTCTTTGTCTTTCTTTCGCTTATACTCTCTCTCTCTCTCTCACTCTCCTTCTCTGTTTCATTCTCTTTTACCTTCTTTATCTCATTCTCATTTCTCATATTCGCTCATATTTTCTCTTTCTCTTCATCTTTCTGTCTGTCTCTCTATTTGTCACTCTCTTTTACTCTCTCTATCTCATTCGCATTCTCATTTCTCTCGTTCTCTATCTTCTCTCTACGTACATTTATTGTTTTCTTGCATTCTCACTTCCTCTTTCTCTCTTGTTCGCTCTCTCTCTCTCCCTCACTCTGCCTCTAATTCATTATTTTGCTTTCTCACTTCATCTCTTTCGTTCTCTCTCTCTCTCTTTCTCTGTGATTCTTTCAATCTCTATCTTATACTATCTCACTTTTCACTACTATCTCTCTCTCTCTCTCTCTCATCATTCTCCCTTTCCAGCCATTCCATTGGTTTGCTCTCTGTGTTGCTTTATGCTCTTGTGCTTAACTCGTTCTATGTTGTCCATAACGTGCATACGATTATCATTACGTTGTCTACTCGTTATTCACCACACTTACACACACACACACACACATACGTAAGTTACTCACCAAACGTTTACTCGCCCCTTTTTGTGATTGACTACGACTCGTTATTCGCCAGTTTGTCACTCTCTCTCTCTCTCTCTCTGTCTCTCTCTCACACTCACTCGTCACTCGCCACTCGCTACTCGTTATTCGTGTTTCTTGAGGCTCGAGAATCCACCTGCTCAACGCTCGCTTGCTCATTGAAATCGACTCCTTGCTTTTGTTATTACATGCCAACAACAACAATTATTAATCGACATCAATATATATATATATCTATCTAAATATCCAAATATATATGTATATATGTGTGTATATGTATATAGAAATGTAAATATTAATATTTAACAAAATAGTTTGCGTTAGTTGTGTTCTCATAGTGCAAATAATTTAGTACACCTCAGTACTGGTCTATTTGTATATGTATATAATCATTGGCAATCGATCAATCAGTTAATCAATCAATCAACAATCGCTCAATCATCTGTCATCATCGGCTATGTAACCAAATCAATCAATATTAATGAAATCGTGCTTAGCTTTAGTGTTGTACAACGTTCCATTTATATTAACTATGTGATTTCTCTCTCTCTCTCTCTCCCTCTCACGCATCTCTGTAGCAATTTTGGCAACCCGGTCTGCAGCCGAGCACATCGCAAGAGTAAGTTGGCATCGCTGGCCCCAAATCGAAAAGAAAAAACATAACGCATTTGCATTGACCAATAGTTTTTATGATTACAGCATCAAGCCGTTCGCCCAGCCGCCCTATACGCCCGGCAAGCCATCGACGGCGGTGTCCGGCGAAATCGAGGCTGGTATTCCGCCCGCACAATTGCCATGGGAGGGACGCGCGATTGCCACACAGAAATTCCGCTTGCTCGAGTTCACGGCCTTCATGGAAATCCAAAGAGATGAGATCGTAAGTGCTATCGAAACCTCTACAAATATATGTATATGCATGTGTATGTATATCTAAATATCGCTTCTTCTCTTGCGTAGTATCACCGACATCTATTTGTACAACTGGGCGGCAAGCCATCCTTCTCCGATCCGCTGCTTGAGGTGAGTCTCGACTGCCCATCTCCCTCTCACTCTCGCTCTCCCTCTCTCTATATATATATATAGATCTCTAATCTAATCTTATGTTTATCACAGACTGTTGACATACGGCAAATATTCGACAAGTTTCCGGAGAAATCCGGCGGTCTCAAGGAGCTGTACGAGCAGGGTCCACAGAATGCGTTCTACCTGGTTAAATGTTGGGCGGATCTCAACACGGACGTTACGACGGGCAGCGAAACGGGTGATTTCTATGGCGTAACTAGCCAGTAAGTTAAACCCACCCACTATTGACTACTACCCCCTCTCCCCTTCGATAGTAAATCTAATTGAATTGCTCACCCCCACACAGATATGAAAGCAATGAGAACATTGAGCTCGTCTGCTCGACAATCGTCTGCTCGTTCGGCAAACAGGTGGTGGAGAAGGTGGAGCACGAGTATTCGCGCCTGGAGCACAATCGCTACGTTTACCGGATTCAGCGCTCGCCGATGTGCGAATACATGATCAATTTCATCCAGAAGCTGAAGAACCTACCTGAACGCTACATGATGAACAGTGTGCTCGAGAATTTCACAATATTGCAGGTGAGTTGAGTTGAGATGAGATGAGATGAGATGTCTCCCTCACCCCACATCTTTTATTGACACTTTTAATCTGTCTGTTCTAGGTGATGCGAGCGCAGGAAACGAAAGAGACACTGCTATGCATAGCGTATGTGTTTGAGGTGGCGGCGCAGAATAGCGGCACCACGCACCACATCTATCGCCTTATAAAGGAATAGCATGAGCTGCATGAAGCAGCGCCCAATCTGTCCGCGTTACCCACCAATGCACAAATCAGCGAATACAGCAACAGCAACAACAGCAGCAACAACAACAACAGCAACAGCAACAACAATAATACGAGTAGAAACCACAACAGCACAAGTAACAACAACAACAACAACAGCAGCAACAGCAACAGCAACAATAGCAACACAACCAGCAGCAACAGCAATAATAATAATGCCAACAAGAGCAATAACAACAGCAATAATAATAGTAATAAAAATAATAACAACAACAACAACAATAACAACAACTCGAACAGCAACAGCAATATTGCTGCCACCGGCACAGAGGAAGCTCTGCAAGGCGTACAGGAAACCATTTCAACCGTCATCAAGCAATCGCCAACATCGCCGCAGCATCAGCAGCGACAACAGCAACTGGGTGGCATTGCAGCGCTGCAGGTGGATGAGGTGCTCTATGCGCAGGTGCTGCCCGAGAATAGCTATCAGGTGCAACAGCAACAGCAACAACAGCAGCAACAACATCAGCAATTGCAGCAGCAGTTGCGTCAAAACACGCACATGTTGCTGCAGCAGCACACAACGCAACAGCAACAGCAACAACAACAACAACAACAGCAACTTGCGAATTACCAAGACCGTCCACCGCCGCCGCCCTACAATGCCTGCATCGCCAGCAACAACAGCAGCAAGCAGCAACAGTTTGATGTGGAGCAACAGCAGCAGCAACAGCAACAACAGCAACATCTAACCACATACGAACAGTTCCTGAAACTGTCCGCTCAGGAGTATACCCAACTGAATGCAGCTGCTGAGAGTGCGGCGCTCAATCTGAGCAGCATAGGCGTCAGCAAAGCTGGCGAGGATGAGCCGCATGTGGTTGAGGCGTCGCACGAGCTGCGCCTGCTGCGTCAGGTGAATGTGGCCAATGCGAATGACAATGTTGCCGATGCCGATTGCGAGCAGTAGTAGTTAGTAGGCGTGGCATGCTGTTAGTTTAGCCAGTTAGTTATTTAGCTCTATAGATAAATACAGTTATGGCGTTTTATTATGCACACGCAACACACACACACACTGACACACACACACACACCAGAAATCTCGTACTGTATTAGTTTACTCGTATGTATTTCAATGCATTGTCGAGCTCAGCAGCAAATCAATTGAAGAATCCTGTCCGCGTCTGTCTGTCTGTGTGTGCGTGTGTCTGTGTGTGCGTGTGTCTGTGTCTGTCTGTCTGTTGTCTGCTGTCAGCGAAGTAATTTTTTTATATACATCTTTACATACATTAAAAGAAATACATTTAAATGATCTCAAAGTTACTTAAAACATATTTTTTGTGTGTAATTTGTATGTTTATCTTCTTCTTACTTTTTGTTTTTTATTGTTTTTAATTATAATTTTTTTTTTTTTTTTCAACAAAGAAAATGAAAAAATGCTAATAGAAGCAGTTGTTGTGCGCTGATTTATTTATAAAAAAAAAAAGAAAGAAAAAAAAAGCAAAATGAAAAGAAAAGATTTTTTTTTTAAATTTTGTAAAACAACAACAAGAAAATTACAACACAAACATTTGACAGTTGCAGATGTTTGTATATCATGTATTCTACATTTTATTCTCTAGACTTAGACATATATGTATATATATATATATATGTATGTAAAAATATTTATATATATATATATATATATATATGCATATATATACATTTTTTTTTGTGTGTGTTTATAGCTATTAGAGTTATGGAGAGCATAATGTATAGTAAACTAAATTTAGGTATTTTTAATTACATGTAAATCGCATCAACTTTGAATGTGCAGTTGCAGCTAGGATTAGATAAGCTGAGCTGAGAGCGAGAGCGAGAGGGCGATAGAGAGAGAGAAAGAGAGAGAGTGCAGAGTGGGTAAGACGCATTGCCTTTAAGAAGCAGCGAGCAGTAAGAGAAAAACACACACTGAAAACGACAAAAAAAAACTAAAATAAAAAAAAAAATACATACGTTTTTTGTTTCAACAACAACAACAACTGTTGCTTTTGTGTGTGTGTGTTTTAAAAGCCACAATGTTATTTCTCTATATACTTATGTAACTATAGTGTAAACGTATATATATATATACATACATATGCATATATATATGTATGTATATGTGTGTAAAACAATTCATTTAAGCATGAATCGAACGATCCACCGTTATTAAAATGATTAACTATTGATTTAAAAATATGCAAAAAACAAAACAAAAAAATAAGTTGAAAAAAAAATCTATTTGAAAACAAAAATTAATTTACAAAAAAAAAAAAACAAGAACAAATCTAAATGTGAGCAAGAAACTTGGCTTCGGAATGCACTCGATGCAAGCGGCGATTCGCACAGCTGGAAAAAGTTTGGATCAAGTGGAATATTGAAGAACTATGTATGCCATATATAAAGCCCAGGCCACGAATCTATAGAGGCTGGATCGCCGCTTGCTGTGTGCATTGAGTGAATGACACCGATAATTACAAAGAAATACAAGAGAAACAAAACAAGTAAAATGAAAAAAAAAAAAGGAATAAATTACAAAAAAAAAAAGGAATGCTAATACTAATTTAAATTAAAAGAAATTGTATTGTAAATGTAAAATAGTATCGTTTTCGTATATGTATATGTAGTTAGACTAAGGCTAAACTCTAACTCTATATAAAGATATAGAAAGTATAATACATACATATATATATAAATCTAAATATATATATATAAATGTAAAGTATTTCGTTGTTGTACGATTAAAACAAATACGCATTTTTTTTTTTGTTAGTAATAAAACTCAATGCATCAAATCAAACACGAATGCACAGAGAGAAATAGAAAGAGAAAGAGAAAGTGAAAGAAAGAGAGCTATAAAAGAAATTTGTAAATTTGACGACAAACAATGGCATAAACAATAATGAAATCAAAAATACAATAGTAAGAGATATTAAAGAACTTTTGCTAAAATTACAAAAACAACTGAAAAGAGAAACGTAAATTTAGTATAAATAAGCACACACACACAAACACACACACAGACTTACAGAAACACTTGAAAAGGGGTAAACAAAAGAGCAACAATAATAATAAATTTAATGCAAATCGAAAACTATTTTACAAAATTTTTAATCGTGAAACAGTTACAATTACAATAAATTACAAAAACCAATTTATATGAAAAGAAAAACTATATATAAAGAGAATGAAAGGAAAAAACAAACAGAGACACACATGAAACATGAAAAAACGTAAAAAAAACAAAAACAAAAAAAAAAACAAATGAAAAGAAATAAAAAATAGTGCCTAACACAGAAGCAAAGTATTAAAATTTAAACCAGGCAGCGAAAATGTAATTTAATTATTATTTCTTTCATTTTGAGTTTTTAACAACCAAACAGCTTGTTTCACAAATTTCTTGCCCATTAAGAAAAACTAGAGAATACAGTTATATAGAGTGCTATATACATATATATATATGTGTATAGCTGTGTGTGTGTAACACTTTTGATTTTTTCTGTACAAAGCTCGATATTTGCGTTCAATCTCACTTAAAACACTTGCAAAGAATCTGAAGTAGAAAAACACAAAAACAAACAACAACAAAAATCCGTTCAGTATCAAGTTAGAAACCACCTTAAAAACTTAGTTTACTATATACATATATGTATATACATATATATATCTTTATATATATATTGCCCGTCTGCTCCGCCACTCAATAACCCCTGCCCCTCTGTACCCAAAGCAATCGGAGAGCTACTTAGTTTTAGACTGTCCCAAGCGAAACAAACCTTTGGCTAAAGCCGAGCCATTTACACTCTTTTGAAATTTCTCAACTGATTTTTGGCATATATTCTGTATAAATCTGATTTGTGCAAGAATAAACCCAATTAGATTTCATATTCACATTTGATTTGTCCAAAAAGTTTACTACGTTTTTTTTTTTGTCTTTTGATTTTCGGCTTAAGTTTATCTTGAATATACATATATGCAATAACAATTTGTTGTAAGCAAGCGATTATATATATATATATAGAAATTACTCAATATATATATTTATATATGTGTATATACACTTATGTGCAAACGCAGGAAACGTGTAATGTCCCGACTATACAGCAATCTAATCCCTGTAACTTCCTCGATTCAACATGCTCCATGCTACAGTTTAAGTTATGTTTGGGTTCTATTTTTTTTTTTTGCGCAGATAGAAAATTTAATTATGTTTATTTTATGTTTATGATTATTTAATTCTTTTTTTTTTTTTTTGTGAAAATACACTGTAATTTAATAAGCAAGAATGAGATCATCAGAAACCATCATCATCATCATCATAATATATACAAAAGTATATATATATATATATATTAAAAGAGAAGAGGAAAACGAAAACAAAAAATAATAGTGCTTAAATCAATTATTAATAAATTTATAAATAGTTCTAAAGCAGAAGATAACTGAAAACAATAACAAAGCAAGGATGAACAGTGAATATGCAAAACAATAAAATTGCAATTATATTTATATAAATAATTGCAATTCACGATTTAAGCTATATATATATATATATATATGTATGTATGTATGTATAAATCGATCTATATATATATATATATGTACATGTATTTTGTTTTATATTTGTCGTTCAAACAAAGTACTAGAATCGAACGAGCGCAAAATAAGGGAGTAAAGAAACATGTGAAATTTACGTAAGGAAAAAATGTGTCATTTTAATTTTTACACTGAAATGCATTAATAAAAATTTTAATATATTAAAAAATCTCAAAAACTTCGAGTCGTTTTTATTTCGATGGTTTTTAATATATCAAGATGCGCCTGGAAGATATATCAACAGCAAACAGGCGATATATTCTGCAAACCCTTACATTATTTTATATTATATATTTTCAATTTAGCTAGCATCGCTTCTCAAATATGATAAGCAGGATGCGCCTGGAATATTCCATATATTGTATCATCACCAAATAGGTGAGATAGCATAGTCAGCATAATCTTATCACATATTTCGGGAGTTACATCGGGTCTGCAACATTCAGCAGTTCTTTGAACTGCTATACATCTAGAATTTGAAGATACCCCATCGAGCGCCAATGACCCCCATCAAGCAATGATGATGAACACATACAACTTGAAACATTGCATTGCCATTAACTATAGTTTTTATTGTTACATATAATATACACATACATATTGAACGCAAAAGCTAGAAACTGCGTAAAAATAATTCGCTTGGACATCACGATTACACAAAAAATTTATATAAATCAAATTGTCTTGTCATTTTGTCTTTTTTTTTTGTTTTTTGTTTACTGCTTGGATTGTTTGTTTCAAAATATGTTTTCTTTTGTAAACATTGAAATTTTAATCTATACAATTCATATTCGTTAAATATATATGTTATTTTCCTTATCGCTTGTGTCCAAAGTTCATTACTAAAGAATTTGTTTCCATGCATTGCGGTTGAACTGGAATTGTTTTTAGCAATCCTATCAACGATGTTTTTTTTTTTTTTTTTTTAACTATAACTTGTAAAATGTACAATTTGAAAATATCAAAAGAGAAAAACAATTAAGAAACTGTGTTGAATAACGGAAAACGGTTAAAAGTTGGTTATAAAAATTGAAGACAGTATGCCGTGAAATTACAAGGACACTAATTGCAAGATTCAAGCGCATGAAGACTGTTCGCACAGTGAATTTTCGAGGATTTCTCTGTTCGGGGCCATTGTTTCGTTTTCTGTTCTTTCTTGTTTGTGTTTATGCTATTTTATTTTTTCTTTTTTGCAAATCTTAGTGTTCTTGATGTTGTTTGCTATAGTTGGTGATTTCCTTATTGCTGTAGCGGAGCCTGTTCTGTTAATTGAAAAGTTCTGTGGCCCAGAGATTGCTAGGCAAACAGAAGCCAGCCGATGCATAGAAAGGCGAGATACAAAAACAGTCTGGACAGCGTTTGCTCATCGTCGTACTGTGTGGTACCGCGATTAGCAGCTGAAAACGAAAAGAGCGCCAGTTAATAATATTATTTATTGAAGACAATATAGTTTCCATGTCTATTAATACTCACCTGCTGGACGCGGCTCGCCGAAGTTAAGCGATGATGTAAAGAAACCAAATGGAAAAGCACCAATACCGAATGATACATGGAAGCTATCACCAAAACCAAACCCCGGAAAGCCAGGTGCTGGCTCGGGCTCTGAGCGCTGTCCGGCAGGACGAGGCGGCACCTTATTGCTGCAGAATATAAATTAAATCAATGTTACAAAGATTGTCGAATGTGAGTCGTTGCGTTGCACTTACCGTGGATCTTCTTGGCGTGTGCTGTTGCGGCCATAAAGCGGTATGACTTTATCCTTATCAACGGCTGCCTTGCAAACGGGGCAGAGCTTGCGATTTGGGCGTGTTTGCAGCCATTGATGCAAGCAGGGCCAGCAGAAGAGATGGCCGCACATGCTGACCACCGCATCCTTTGCCGTGTCCAAGCAAATATTGCACTCGTATAGTGATTCCTCGCTTTGTTCCTTCTCGTTGTCGTTGCTGTTGCTGCCCGTTGTTGTTGCTGATGCAGATGCAGATGCAGATGCTCCTGCTGTTGTTTTTGTTGATGATGACGACGATGACGACGGATTCACCTCATTTGCAGCAGTCCCATTCAGATCTGCAATATTGCCGCTGGCCAGGGCGCTGCCCGTGAATGAATATGATGTTGACCTATGGCGCAGCTCCGATGTGGACTCAGTGGGACTCTTGGCCCAGCCAATGTTGTCAGTGTCCACACGCTCCATGGCATTGTTGTCGCTGCCATTCTCATTGCTGCCGGCATTTGATGATGTGCTGGGCAATTCTGGGGCAGTGGCCAACTGTGGCTCGCTAACCAAAGTGGCTGTTGCCGCTTCCATATTATTTCAGATTTGCTTAACCAATATACCGCAAGGTAACTGCTTGATGACTTGCTTAAACGTCCCTTGAAAGTGTGATCTAAATAAAAGATAAATACACAAAACAAAAAACCAAGAAAATACAATTTAGTAAATGCATTTAAAAGCAGGCCATTTCAGGAATAAAACAGAACAGAACCGAACACAGCGTAGCAATTATAGATATCGTCAACCTGGTGTGAACCCGCAACTGCAGCTAATTGGAAATGCCATATACGTGTGTGTGTGTGTTTATGTCTGTGCGAGTTGAAAACATACAAATACACACAACTGCCCAATCAATAGTCTGCACGTTCCTCAATATAAGCGCCAAATGCTCGGCGTCGCCCAGAGGCTTAATGGAATCCGTTCAGATGCTCTACTCGTAATTCCTATTAATTCAAAATAATACTGTTTAGAATTTATGCCAAAATTTAACTTCAATTTTTATGTGATACTATAGATGTGACACGGCTCACTAAAATTCCTAGATTCTATACATTTTTCAAGTATATACGTATGTATGAAGTAATATCAAATGAAAAGTGACCTAAACTTAAGCACTGTTTACCAGGGTCTCTGGCTTAAATAGAAACATATGCTAGCTAGCTTGAAGTCCGATTGCAAAACATTTGTCTGGTCAAGTTTCAATAGCTAACTGAACATTAGATTAAGCACAGACATACAAAACACATATGTATGTGCATACATATGTACATACACACACATACGTACAATGCCCTTCAACTGAATAGGTTTCAAATTTAAGAAAATTGGTTCCTATTTTCAATTAAATATATTTTCTATGATCAAAAAATGCATAACTTATGATCATTTATATTTATTTTAATTTTTCAATTAAATTATCTGAATATATATTAATTTTTTTATTAATTTTTCATTTAGATTATCTGAAAGTTTTAGAAATCTTAGTTTAATTTGTATGATGATGTAAAGAGCCAATTTGTATTGTAACATTTAAAGCAATTATTATTTTTCAAAGTGGATCCCAAAATACGTTGAATGAGATTTAAATACCTAAATAAAATATAGTTTAATTGAATTTGAACTAAAACACTATCTAACAAGATTGGGCTCAATAAAAATGTAATAAAATCTTTCTGTAATAGCAGAAATTATGCGAAAAGATATGCTACAAGGGTACTTGGTAAATATTTGAGACCTATTCAGTTGAGCGGCACTGTATATCGCATGTCATTCGCTACGCATGTTTATCGCAGCAAACGTAATCAAAGGTAATTGTGCGGTACTTAAGTTTAATTCATATGTAAACATGTGTGTACATACATACACACATACATACATATATGGATGTAAACAAGTATAGGTGTGCCTATGTACATCACAGATGCATTTGTCTCTGTGCTGTCACAGTAAACAGGTGCAATTTGACTGCACAACAAGCAAACGTATCGAACGCATGTAAAACTATTAATATTTTGCAATTTGACAAACTAATTTCGATATGACTAGCAGTTAACCCTAGATTTATATCAATATTTTGATTCGAAATTGTTATTAAAATTCGCCTTTCACTGAGAACTTTCAAGTGCGCGCTAAAAATGCTAAAGTACAGAGCGAAGGGTCCAAAGATTGCATACAATTAATATTATGATTATTAAAACGAGCTAGATCGAGATCACACAGACAGGGAGAGGAAGAGAGCGAGGAAGAGATAATGAACATGATTATGATGAATCACGTGATGCTCTGATAACGACTACACCGGGAACTAGAAGTTTCAATCGAATCCGGATATCACAGCTGCGTACCTGATAGAACCTTAGGCAGTGCTGCTGTTGCTACTGTTGCTGTTTCTGCTGCTATTCTCTAATGCTTTTCAAATTGTACAAACAAAAACAAACATACATATGTATGCACGCACATATGTACGTATGCATATATACATATGTAAATATACAAGGCAGAGCCGCCAGGCAAGCTTTCAGCAGCTATGTGCGTACTTTGCATCTGACGTACTAATATATGTACATACGTGACTTTTTACATGTGTATTTGCCATAGGTAAATACACGAAGCGTTGCACGTCTGTATGTGTGTGTGTGTGCGAGTATGTATGGTGCATACGAATGTAGCAATGCCCTATCAGATGAGCAGGCACACACACATATTCAAATACATATGCAAAAAAAAAGAACACGCACATACACATTAATACACACCCACACACAGGCGCAGATTCATGTATTTTCTACGACACTGTTATTGTTTGATTGTTTTGGTCAAACTGCCACACAAATAGTTTTTGCAATATTTGGCACTCACATGAAATCTCATTTAACGCGTAACATGTGTTTTTGATTTAACTGTGAAAACTTTTAATAACTTGCTAGAGCTTCATATGTGTTTATTTTGATTTTCCTCAAGGCGAAACTGGTTGGGCCTGGCATACTATGAAAAAACATATGTACAGGTACACAAATACATATACATACCTTTTAATAGCGTATCATATGCCCACGTAATTTATTTGGATTATAACAATATGTGTATATAGAACTGACAGTTCGACATCTAATTATATTAAATACAATATCACTAAAACTAATCTGTATGCTCGCAAAAAAAAAATATATTAAGTGGTCAGAACCACAGCGATAGCGATATACCTCTAATTTGACTGGCGGCGACTATCGAGATAGTGCAGTTGAATACATCGATATATAATTATTAAAGTTTGTATCGATAGGTGTTAAGCTATTGCGATAAGATATCGATGTGTGGAAAAATAGCCATAAGAGCGATAAATTTGCATATTTAATTTTTTTTTTTTTTAAATGAATATTAATTACTATTATTGATGAAAAATGCAATAATGATATCGTTTAACTTTCATGGGATGCTAAAAATACAAGTCGCTTAGATCCTCCGTCTTTCAACCTTTGGACCCACTTTCCAACTAGTTTTTAAACAGTGGTTTTTATTAGGTACTTGTGATTTATCGATAAGATATGATGGTGCGATATTTTCCGTTCCCAATATTGACATTCAATTTTAATTTCTGTAATAATAGTAGCCGCTTTGTATGCAACAAGCTGTAGAGGCAATTACAATGAACTACAAGAAGACTGTACAATGTGTATAAAATTTTAATATATTGGCCGTTAAATATAAACAATTTACACTTGGCGCTATTTCGTTCATATATAAAAAGGCTCTGTTTAAGCTAAGACGACAATTATTGTCAACAATTAAAACGCAGCAGCCGCGATAACTTGGAAGGCCATGTAAGCGGTAGAAATCAGTGCCACAAAGAAGGAAAGCGCACGTGCTGGCTGAGGCACCACGACTACGGCATAGACCAGGGTATGGACAATGCGTGAGATGCCAACAGCGCGGAATAGATTGATGGCCAGAAAGGCGCTGGGATTCGTTAGTGTGTAGAGCAGGCCGATTGCGAAGAAGGGCAGAATGTTCTCCAGATCGTTGCGATGCGCACGGCGCACACGCTCCACATTGGGGTCATCGAATTTAACCTTCAACTTCGGTGACATCAAATCCTCTGGATTCGCGAATGTCTAAAGAGCCAAACGAAATAGCAACAACAAAAATTGATAAATTCTCTCATAATCTATGCACTTTCACCTGCTGACCGGACTTTGACCTAGTAGCAACGGCATCACTCTAGCTCACCTTGGTCTTGAAACGTTGGATGGCCGTAAGCAAAGACATGGCCAACATTTTGACCACCAACACACCGGCCCAGAACGTGAAGCTCTTGAACACCGGGTTGTTTAGGGTAAGCAGTTCCAGACTCATCTTTCTAATTCGATTTATTTACACGTTTTGTCAACTAGCAGTGAGTGAACCGCTTTCGTACGTTGCAAACTATCAACTGGCGTGAGCGCTGTCTATATTCTTATTATATGCATGTGTGTATGTATGTACATATGTATATACCGGCGTATGCTCCGCTCTCTTGCGCGCATTTCTCTCTCTCTCTCTCTCTCTCTCTCTCTCTCTCTCTATCCTTCTCGCTTGTGCTCTCTCGCACTCTCTATCACTTGTATGCTCATGTAGAAAGCGCTGAGTCAGACTGACACTATCAAAACAAAAGAGCGCGCACACACACACACATACACATATGCATGTACATAAACTTACCAAAGTTATAAATCGCATAAGACCGGTCAATAGGCTCATCGCAAACATTTTAAGCACCAGCAACGCCGTCCAGCCGATATAGCAGCGGAACACCTCATTTTCCAGTGAGATTAGCTCGTAATGCAGCATTGTTTCGGCTTGACATTCACTTGACGATTGACTCGCACTCTAATGCCTAACCCTAACTATATGCTATATATGTATGTATGAATGGATGCACTATGCACTTACATATCTCGTGGGATGTCAATTCGATTCTACCGACAGCATATCGACGTAATCTTAACTAAATATTTACTCAACCGGTTTAGCTAGCTTGTTAATGCCCCCCAAAGATCATGTGTGACAGAGTCAGTAATATATGTTTTTTATTTTTCATTTAGCCCTTGTCGAACTAGAAGATTGTTAGATTTCATAATTCAAAATCTATAAATATTAATTTCAGCAACAATTATCAAGTTTATAGTGTTATGAAAACAAAATCAACGCAAACTGGATTATTACTCTTCATAAAAAAAAGTTAGGTAAACCCTAGTTTAGAGTGTACCTCTAATGTTGCTGGCGTCACACATCTGCACATCAGAGCGATTAAATGAATTGACAAAAGCTCAAATAAAAAAAATTACTGTAATTGTCGTGAATTGAAAACAAAAAGCGAATAATTTTCAAATTAGCCCAGATGCGACGATTTGGCGGGGGGCCTAGTATTAGTACAGAAATACTGACAGCTCTAAAATTACTTACATGCACATTTAGTTGAAAGGCATTACGTGAGAGATCGTTTAAAATTGCAAATAGACTCGATGCTGATTTAACTTCAAAATAAATAAATTATTAAGCTATGCAATGCAAAAGTCTAGTTTCCTTTTACGTGACACTGACATGACGCGCTCAGATAAAGTCTTATAATGCATATAAGACCTGCAATTGACGTTGTACCCTTAAAGGGTTTATTGTAATTTTATACAGCTTATAGGCATACGCGTATAAGACTGTGAGTCAGGTCTATAGATGAGTTTTTTACTTAAATATTTTATGGCACTACTCAGCTTAGCTCATAAATACTTTTTTACAAACTCGTATTCTCTTTAATATATCATTATACGAGCTCTTCTATTTCTTATAAGACTATCAATCAACTCTTCAGCTGAAATTATTTCCTTGTAGACCTTTTGCATAGCTTATTAACTCTTTTGGACACTCTTATAATGAGTATAAGACATTCAGTCAGTTCTTGGAATTAATCTCTTAAGTTACGACACTTACATGCACAGCTAACGCGCCTATGCTAACTCTTATAAGTATAAGATTCAATTAGTTCATTTTATAAGACTGTTTTAGACTTTGAGAACGATTTTACTTATTTTACTTACCTTATGTTTTTATGATACGAATGTAACTCTAAAGCAAACGCCTATATGTATAAGACTTTCAATTGGGTCTCTACTTTGAGTTTTCTCTTCAAGATTTTTAAATACTCTGAAGATAAGCCAGTTTTAATGGCACATGACCTGTGGCTCGTTAACATTTTAGTTTTATTTCGTTCAAAGCTCAATGCATAATTTTAAAAAAAAATTGAAGACTCGAATTGGAGCTGACAAGCTCTGTTCAAAATTATCTCAAATTTGCAATCCCAGCGAATCTAGAGCATAGCCAAGATCTAGCCAGAGGACTGGCTTGGTCCATGGCTAGGGTGCTCTCATTCAAGAGACCTTCATCAGAATTTTGTGAACAAATTAAAAATGCCAACTTATGTGCGCAAAGCTCAGTTGCAGCTTAACTCAATCAGCTGCAAGTTTGCTTCAAATATTTCCAGTAGTTGTTGTTGTTGTTGTTGTTGTCTTACTTAAACTAAAGTGCGCTGTAATCTCTCATCATCATCATCATCATCGTCATCAGAGTCAGCAGCAGCGTCTCCGCTTTTCGTCATTGGGCTGGCTGGGGCCCGGTTGTGGGTCTGTCAACATTTTGCTAAAGAAAACCGCAGGCGAGCCGCTCTTCAGAGTGAACTGCCTCTTCCTCCAGCGATTCTTGAGTGTAATTAATTAATTTCGCGCTCATTTAACTATGCGCCCATTGTTTGCTGCTGCTAAACATAAAACATAATGTGCTGAATTTACATAACATACGGATGGGGCTGCAATTGCAGCTCAGTGATCGTTCCACATTGGTCGTGCACGCGCGTCGCATTCAACTCGAATTCCGAACGCCCTAGGCGCAGGCCCTGCTCAAAGGATATCAGAAAGGAACAATTCAATTATTTTATTTATTATTATTTTTTTTTCTTGTGTTTGTTGTGCATAAAATGTCTCACGGTGAACGAAAAGGTCGCCTGAATGTGGTTAAATTTTTAGAATTGGTAAAGCAAATTTGTATTCTGTTTAAAGTGCAAGTGATCACTCGAACTATACAAATTAAATAGCTAAGAAAACTAAAATTTCACTATAATATAAATGGTTTCATAGGAGTGCCTGACTAGCAGATACCCTAACTGCTGTGCCGAATAGTTACTCAAAACATTATTGGAATTTCGAAAGAACTCAAAGATTTTAAGATATAAGCTCTTGTAAATAGAACCGTACGACTTAGGCTTATACAACTACATACATAGATAACAGTATTATTGCTATTGTAGAAAAAACTTGACTTGCTCGATCTGTTAAATGAGTATTTATGTATGACATTCCAATTTTCTAGTTAGTTGTTCAACAGTCAGAGATATTATATATGTAGTACTACATTAACTCTGCTACTGATTCAAATTTACATATATATAATTAACAAGATCCACTTTCAATGGATTGTCAGGGTCAGCAGAAACACTGTTTCCTTATAATATACTTCACAAGTATATATGTATATATGTATATGCATATATCACAAGTATATATATTATATATGCTCTGATTTCATATTTTCAAGCTCCCCCTTTCAATACTCCCCAATTTGTCTTGTGCAAGCTCTTCAAATACTGTGCGATATGTTTATAGTACATACAAGTACGTATGCTATATTAAATATACTCACACTTATACAATCGAATTATACACAATTCACTTCAATTACATATACATATGTACTTCGATTTCAGTAAACAATTGGGAGTTTTCTATTTCATTTCTAGCTGATCTTGAAATTGATCGCACAGTTTCATATGCAGCCTATGCTACTGGCTTTATTATTTGTGTATACTTGTACTTATATTACATAGGCGTATCGTACCCTTCTGTTATATATACAAAATATAAGCATGAAATTACATATACTCACATTTCAGTAAACAGTTAGGTGCTTACGATTTTCACATTTCTAAATGATCTCGCAACTGATCTTATATACATACATACATATATTGGCTGTTCCGGACTAAACATTTCGCTTTGCTTCAACTTTTGTTCCTCTCTTTTAGGCCTTTTCCGTTGCCTGCCTAGTGCTGCACTTCTATAGCTTTAACGATCGCGACATTATGACCTCATTCATGGCGACAGGCACATTCACTGGCTATATTATCGTCGTCATAGGTGTGTTCGCAGGTAAACCACACTCAATTAGCATGCACGCATGTCTCTATTCGCAATCATTATCAATGCTTTTATGTCGTCCAGGCGTTCTGATGCGTGCACCCATTCACAAACGCATCGACATCTTCTTCAGCGTTCTGGGCTGCGCCCTGTTTGTGGCCAGCGGGATCTTCATAATCGAGGCCTGGGAGTTCTCGTTCCGCACACGCACCCGGGATCTGGCGCTGATCAAGGCATCACTGTCCATTGTGAATGGTGTGCTGTTTGGCTTCGATGCGATCTTTACATTTCGGGATAAATAATATATCAGGATCGATGCCCATCCACCCACACTTGACGCTGCATTTACAATCGTATTATACTTAAGAGACAGATACTTTCTGCATGCATGCATACATACACACATACATACATACATACATACATACATGCTAGTTATCAAATCATAAAGAATGTGTGACAAATGTAAAATTAGGGCAAAAACGAAAAACAGGAAAAGGGACATTGCTCTATTGCTAATACATACTTTGTTTTTTATTCTTTTCACTTTGCTTTTAAATAGTTTTTACATTTTTGAGTGCAAATTCATGTCAATAAAAAAATATACATGTGTATAATATATATAAGCCCGCATTGTGCATTAAAGGTGATTACAATTAGGCTAAACATACACAATACACATATACACACAGACACACACACACACACATACACACACATACACATACAAACAAACTCAGTGAGAGTGAGTGAGAGAGAGAGGGAGAGACACACCCTCACATGTAGCGGTACATCAATTAGCTGCTGACATGGAAATTCATGAAAAGTAGCTTGGTTGCGTTTATACAATGTTAAAGTAGTTAGATTTAAATTTTTATTGTGTTTGCTTTGCTTTTGTTTTTGTTGGTTTTCCATGATTCATTGACGTGAGAAAAATATGCACGTCGTCTTAAGTCATTATCATCATTTTCTTGGGGCATCTTTGGATGTTCTTGTTGTTGTTGATGTCGGCTGCTGCTGCTGCTGCTGTTGTTGTTGCTGCTGTGAGTTGTTCTGGCGTTGTTGTTGTTGATTTTGATGTTGATGCTGTGTTGCGTTGTCTTAGGCAGAATTGTGTATGTTAAGGCGGAAAATGTCATGAGCAACGAAATAGGTGCCGGCATTGGCTTTCAACACAAACACCTGAGAGAAAGCGTGTGGAGGATCGTCGTCGCACTGTAATTCGATTAAAAACGCATTCACATTACATAAAATGTCAGCAATACTTAATAGCAATATTAAATAGTTTGCGTATCATGTGTGGATCAATACGTGCTCAAAGATTAAACAAATTAGAAATCAAGGAAATTAGAAATAGAAATTAGAAGAGTTTTGAAGGAGCAAAACAAAGTTGGGCACAGTTAAATAGACCAAATATACGCCGCATGAATGAATGGATAGCTTCGGTGCACCGAAGCTCAAATACTCTTGCAGGTAAATAAACTGTATCTCACGTACACTATGGACTTGCATATTGATAACTCATATATAAACAAGAAATTGATCTTAAATAGACATTGTTATTTGACTATTCACTGAGTTCACTACATAAATATGCTGATACAATAAAATTCTTGTGATTCTATATTCTACATTTAGGTATATACATATTAATATCAATGTTTATATTGCTTGCTATTTATTTACATTGTTCGGCCATTTTTATACAACAAATAGAAGCTTCTATTTAACAATATAGAATACAGTGTAAAATATATACAGAAAATTGATCCGCTTCTATTCTATCGATCATATCAATTTCCGCTTCGATCCTATTAATCACATCAATTTGTATCCGGAAGCCACGCACTCGATAATTTGACTGCAAGGGCACTCCATCCACATTAACTGGTCCGAGGCAAAAAGTGCATTGAAGAAGCATCGCCGCGTGGCAGGTACCGTTAAAACCATGCAATGCCAACATTTCTTAATAATACTTTCAGCAATATCAATGAAAATAATCTGCCTGTAGAGTAGAACATGATGATCGCTTATTGACGCATCCGGCGACAGGATGGATACAGCTATAGTTAGGTCTGTCTATGTATGAGTGCATATATGTTTATGTTTGTATTTATGTACATAAATTGTTGTTTTGTATGCGAGTAGTGTGTGTTGTTTGTTAGCATGTTTCAATAGAACAGTTATACCAAAAATATTTAACTCATTTAGTAGGTCAATGTGGCAATTAACTTTTTGTTACGATTAGATGCAACAGAATGCTGTTTACTTTGCCTGGCCAGGATCGCTCTCAGAGTGTGATTTTGATTGTTGTTGTTGCTGTTGTTGTTTGCCGTAGCTGTTGCATTCGGTCGAGCTGATTGCGATTGGCTACACATTGTGCAGCGCAAGCCTAAAGATGTCGTGCTGCACAAAGAAGCTAACGCCCACAGGTTTCAGTACAAAGGTCTGAATATACGCATGCGGCTGATCCTCATCGGTCTGCATTAATATAGTCATATATGTACATACATATAGTTACATATATATATGCAAACCTTCTTTATATATATATATATGGTTTTAATGCTCAAAGCTCTCATATGATTCTCACCTGTAGTCGTCCTAGGACATTTATCAAAACGCCACCATCAAATGTGGGCTGCGAGTCTACCGTTGTAATTACTCGTGTGATCTTTTGGAAAGTGAGGCTCTATATTACCAAAGAAAAAACAGAAGATAATAATACATCGATTGCCTTTGCAGTTCAATTTAGCCCTACTCACCTGGACTTTTTCAAGTATTTTTGGAGCTCCTTGGATTTGGTGTCCTTCGAAAGTCATAAAGGACTCCGTTGCCTGTGCAAAATTAAATGAGAAACATTTACAAAAATTCGATTAGTTTGTGAGTGTGTGTGCGCGTGTATGAGTGCGTTTCTGCATATACATATACAGCAATGTATACATATATATTTATATGTATATACACACACATATACGAATTATATATACAACATGAATATTCGTGCAAATTTAGCATATATGAAGACGTCTGTGTTTATGTATATGTATGCGTGTGTGTGTCATACTTTTATATGGGAAATTTCGAGAAAGCCACATTATACCCGAACCTGTGCACACATATACATGTCTGGTAATAATTTAATTATTGAACAGCATTTTTAGAGCGGCGAATATCACGAAATAATCATTTGCGCGCTCTTTTTTATCGGTGCGAGCAAGAATTATGCTCTAGGCATTTTTGTCAAGGGCGCCATGCGCGTCACCTCTGCGACTGGGAACAATAATATTGCCCTTGTTCGTTTACACATATAGTACATATATGGCAACCAATGATGTGGAGTGTGTATGCTGCTTAGGTTCCCTATCGAAATTAAATAGTCAAAGAGTTTCCATAGCCCAATGCGGGACGCCACTTACGCTGTAAAAGTTTACCACATTAGCGCGGTTCGCCGGGTCGTCAAATATGGCATAATATTGCTGAACGAAGCCTTTACCAATATCTTCGTACTGTGGATTTAGCGCCATATTTTTTATGAATTATTTATTTAATTATAATTGGAAGTCTTGACTATAATTTGATGCTAACTATACAGATAATCAGCTATTTTGGTTGACTTTATGATACTAAGACACAGAAAACGCGAGACACGGCGAAAGTGTGACCAATAGCGAACTCCACCTATATTCGCATTTAATTTTCTTTTGACATAATTCAATTGTTTCGATTATTCGATTATAAATAAATACATCGATAAGCAACTTAAATGTCTGTAGGTTAAAAAAAATGTACTTCGCAACAGTTTGGCTAAGTTTATATGCACCTATTTTTGTGTTTGTTTCTAACAATTTTGTTTTATTTTGCTTTATATTATTCACATTAATAATTTGCATACGTACACATATGGAACGATGGAAAAGTAAGTGTAAAAAAAAAACGGTAACACTGCAAACTCTGAATTCCAAACGACTGTGCGTTTCGTGCGCAAAGCGATTAAAGAGGTTTTAGTGTTAAAATGTTAGCCTTAGCAAATCTTTCGCAGCTTTGTCGTATTTGTCTGCGACATTTGCGCCAGCAGCAGCAACAACAGTCACCAAATGCAACACCAGCCAAAGATACTCATTATCTACAAAGGAACAAAACGAGCTACAATTCGAAGGCTCTTCCACACTTGGCAGAAATGTTGAATCAGTTTTTTGCCATTGACATTTTTCAGCAACCGGACACCTTTCCGCAGCAAATATGTGCGCTGTGCTACAATGCCATGGAATACTTCCAGCAGCTATGCACTGTCGCCGAGCAGAGCAACGAGATGCTAAGGCACCTGGAGCTGACCTTGATTGAGCAGCCAGAAGTTCAGATCCCAGATACGGACGCTGATGCTAATGCTGCGGATGCTGATGCTGATCACTCGGTTTGTATATACAAATCTTTACAGTTGAGTCAGCTAGTTTTAGGGCTGAGCTAGCGTTTTTGCAGTTGCCGCTTGTGAAAACGGAGCCCATGGAAGCTGAGGCGGAACATCAACAAGAATACGATTTCGAGCACGAAAGATGTGCCGCTGCTGATGCTGGCTTAGGTGCTGATGCCGATGCTTATGCAGATGCTGATGCAGACGTCGATGTGACCAATCGTAGCCAGGCTTCAACAAATGATGATGAGACCGTTATGAGCAGCTGTGCAGCAACAGAAGAGGCAGAGGCAGAAGCGGAGGAGGCGGCAGCTGCGGCGGCAGTTGCTGCTGCCAACAAACGGAAGCTGCTCGCCTGCGAGCAGTGCGGCAAGCAGGTGTACAAACTGCCTTATCTGGAGGCGCACATACGCAGCGTGCATGAGGGTCACCCGAAGCCATTCCTCTGTCGCAACTGTGACAAAGCTTTCACACGATACGAACAACTGCGTTCGCATGTGCGTAACGTTCATCCGGCTGTGGCCGCTGCCACAAAGGCAGCCAGCGACGAGCTGGAGCTTATCTGTGAGCAATGCAATCGCCGATATAGCACCAAAAATGCTCTCGGTGAACACCTGAAACGGCATGCGAAGGAGAAGCCACACATATGCGAACATTGCGGTGCTGCCAAGGTAACACGCACCGAGCTGCTCACGCATCTGCGCATTCACAATCCAGACTGGGAGAAGTTCAAGTGCAAGCAATGTCCACAGCTCTTCCGGCACAAGAGTGCCATCAGCAGGCATGTGCGTGTCGTCCACGAGGGACAGCGACGCTTTCAATGCGGCCATTGCCAGAAACGATTCGGAACCCATGCCTCGCAGCTGCGGCACGAGCGCCTGCACCTGGATAGATATTAATTTGATCGGAGCTAGTGTATTAATCACATTCCAAAAAATATGTATATGTATTTGATTGAAATTTTTCAAAAACTATGTTTTATTTATATTTTATATCCATCGAGCACATTGATATATGCACAAAGATGCGAAGCTGAGCTGCTTGGCAATAAAGCGAACTTCAATTAACATTAATTGGAATCCATCATTCCTGTTAACTAAAAAAAAGTAAAGAGCTCAACGCTCTACATAGAATAATTTTATAGGTAGTTATAGAAAAAGTTGTGGAAACAGCTTTATTCAGGCATATCTGATATATAAGCTTATACTTCAGGTATTTCAACAGCCTTTGATTATCATACAACAATTATTATTTATTGCCTTAACAATTTATTTGTTACAGCCAAAAGACGATTCTGAACTATAAATGGAGAGCCTAAAGAGAGCCCAAAATTATTTTTATACTATTTTATAAAGAAATATGATGAAACCCATATATATTCCGGCTATCTTTGAATCAGGCATAAATTACTATATTTAACATTTTACTTTATTTATTATTTTTAAATTTTTTTTTAATATTTAGATTTCAATTAGCTTATTTGTATTTTATATTGGAAAATATCTGCCAGCTGGATAACGGAAACCCTTAATACCAAAATTTCAAGTTAGTTTCTATGAGCTTCAGCCTTCACTCTCTGTATACACAGCTATATACTACAGCTATACCTTGGCTATCTTTCTGCGAGTAATCAACACAAATCAGTTCGGTCTACTCCTCATAAAGGTTGCTGCGACTGTTGTGATACACAATATGAATTATTTAAACACTTGAAGTGAAAGTGAGCCTAGCGTATAATCCGTGCTGGGCCAGCGCAAAAGTTACCAACTTGCCGTGAGCCAAACTCTTTGTTAAACCAATTCTTCATGGAAACCACCCAGTACTCCATTTGGCTGTCGTGCGTGTGTATCTCGATGAGTTGATTTAGCTCCCTCTGAACGTCCCTGGCCAGCTGCAGCTCATTATCGTCGAAGGCATCGCAAATCCTGTGCACCAGATCGGGGCGAATGTTGACAACGACCAGACTGCTACAATTGAAGCCGGACATAAGGCCGCTGGCCAGCAATGCCGTGGATGCCAGCATGACGACACGTCCAATGCGCAAACAGCGCTGACCCATCTCCAGATCGGCGCTGGCATAGTAAAGACCCATAAAATTCGGTATACACTTTTCGGCCTTCGAGCAGAACTCAACCATGTCTACTGCAAGGCAGATGCAAGCGTTATTAATCTGATCTTTTGGCTTTTGCATTAGTTATTGCAACTTACGCTCCACGCCCGTCATCGAGGGCATGTGATAGTAGAAGAATGGTCTTGTCGGGCAACGGCTTGAAACACTCAGGCAATATTGAACCAATTGATCCACGTTGTGCGGACGATAGAACAGTTCAGGCAGTGTGACAACGCCACTAACGCGCACCAGCTCGGCGTGGGCGGCCAGCGAGAGGACATCGGGCAGCGGCGCTCCACCCACCTGAACCATTATCATCAGATTATGCCGGACGGCGGCACGCTGCCAATATTCGCAGTTCGCCTTACGTTCGCGCACACGCATCATTGGACCCTCGCCAACGACGCCATTGATTAGGACTCCTGAAATCATTTGACTGCGTAGCCATTCCGCATACCGATTGATGGGACGCACGTCCAGAGATCTACGACTGCACCCACATACATATATATATATATTCATGTGCGTGTATCTAGATGATTGTCGGCAGATGGTTTATAGACTCACTCATCGTCCTTGAAACAAGTAAAGACCGGGGCTAACAGTCCCTGAAATCTTGAATTAAATAGCCCTGTTTCCTTGGACTGTGAAGTCGGTGTTGTAAGTTCGCTCTCTGCTTGCTCGACTTCGTCTTCTTTTTCAGCCTTCCGCTCTACAGCAAGCTCTCAATTGTTGCATACAATATGTATATAAAAGAAAGATTCGGCATAGATTACCTGCAGTCGCTGGCAGTCGCGGCTCACTGATTCGGCTTTCCGATGATTGCGGGCCCTTTTCACGTTTTGCCTCTTCTGTCCTACGAAACCAGGCCATAGCGCCGGCTGGAGGCAAAGTTGTCAAGGGCTACGATAAATTTTGATGAAATATTTGTTTGAATTGAGCGAAAAGTCGCAAACTGCGCAGTAAATAAACGTATTCAGATATGTATGTATATTATTACAAAGTAGGTGCTAGTGCATATTCAAAGTTTGGCGCCAATTCCAGTATGACCACACATTGTTTACCAAAGCTAAAATATCGATATACTTTTATTTAAGAATAATTATTTAAATTTATTTGCTCACTTATCGATTGTTGTCTGTTTTAATACTGATATTTTTCATGCCGATATATTGCTGAACTAGAAATCGAACTACAATCGATACAAGTTGTTTTACAAAAATCGATACTGCATCATTGTGAAATCGTTCTCCGCAGTAAGCAGATCGGGTTCTCCGTGAAAATTCTTAGAAAAAAAGAAACAAATATAATTTTACTTTTCGTCACGGTGAGTGTGCCTTTTATTTTATTAAATTTGTTTTGTTAGCTGAATTTGTGTTGTGCTAAACGGTGAATGTGACAAGTTTAATGCTATCAGCGGCGTAATTAGTGTGTGCAATAGCCTATTGTTTTGGTTTTTTTTTTTCATGTGGGGTGCTCCTATAGACGGCCGGCGGAGCACCACTTTTCCGTGCTAGCTTAGCTTTTTTATTTTAGTGGATACACACCGCGCAACAACGATGGTGACTTCGTTTGCACGACGAATGCATGGGCACACTTAGTGTGGTGTACTTGCGTTGTTGCCTTTTTCAAAATGGCGGCTATTGCAGACAAGTTGGAAGTAAAAAGTTTATAATAATTGCGAAATATTTGTTTAATACTCGGGAACATTCGTGGGCTGCTAATGTACAAATGAGGAAGGGTGTGCGTGTATGTTTATGTTTTTGTTTTGCTCGTCTGATTTTTGTTGTAGTACTTTATAGTTGACTTCGAGTATTTTGATTATTGTTATTTTTATTTGACTCAATTGTATGTGTGTATACTGGCAGACACACGTACACATGCAAACACTCGGTTCGTGACACATGCGCATCAACACTTGAACGTGAGCTTGTGCGTGTCTAAATACATATATATTTGTGTGTGTGTGTGCGTGCCAGTTGTTTTTCTTCAAGTTTCGTTTTGTTTCGCATATGTGAACATATAGCGGGCCAATTACTGAAATTTTGATGTCTGTACACACGCATACATGTGTAAGCATTTGCTCTTAAGATGTGCAGCTGCTTCACATACACAGACGCACAAATATATGACGTTGCTTTGCGCGCGTTAAATGCGAACGACGCAATTTTCGTTTGGGCACCTTTCGCTCCCTGTTTACAGCTCTGCCTTTCGCTCACTCTTATGTTTTGTCTATTGCTGTTGCTAATAACGCGTTGTTTGCGCTTAATGCGCAATATTGCCAGCCCGCTTGCACGTTTGCTATTCAAATGTGCGCCAAGTTTTTGTTTTCGTTCACATTGCTCTTATGATTGTTATGAAATAAGCATAGCACAAAATGAAGCACCTGCAGCATACATATGTACGTATGTATGTATGTATGTGATCCAATTGCGTGTATGTGTGTGTGAGTGTATGCAGTTGATCAAGCATTTTTATGGTATAGATACCTGAATTCATTTGCAAATTGGGACAATTGCATTTGAAAGTTTTGCATATGTATGTAAATTATATTTTATATAAATCTAAGAAAAATCACGCATCAAATGTTGAACAAACAAATATCAAACCTTAGTCTGTAATATGGCAATAAATAGAAAATTCTAGACTGAGCTAAGCATTAGAAATATTATACTCCAAGCGATTAGTTTCAGTAATAGATTTTGTTGGGTACTTCCATAATATATTAAATAAATATAAACTTTTGATAGAATTTTGTATAGAACAAGTTGCAAATCGATCAATATATTTATGTATGTATTTGCAAACATCAATAGACTTTCAAATTCTGGTAGATCTGTGTGCAAGCTTTCGACCTAAAAAACTATCGATGCTTTTTATTTTTTGTTTATGTTTACTCGAGTGTCGTTTTTACCGTTTGTTGTGGCCCCTCTAGAAAGTTTTGGTGTGCATATTTTCCACGCGACTGCTCTGAGTGTGTGTGTGTATGTGTGCGGCTGTGTTTGTATGCGTGTGGCACGATTTGTAGATCTAAAACTAAAAACTACAACTCATTACTTCAACTTGATTGATTCTGCGCATAAAAAGCAAAACGCAAAATTCACGACGCTCGAGTGGTGGCAGAGCACAAAAGAAAAAGAAATGCAGAGGCCGTGTAAAAAGAGCGATTCATGGTACAAAAAAAAAAAAAAAAAAAAAAAAAAAAAAAAAAATGTATGCACTCACACAATGGCTCAAGTGGGGGCACTCAAAGCTGTGGGCTGCAACAGCATCAGCAGACGATGGCGACGACGACGACGACGTCGCAATTGAAGTGGAAGTTTTGAAGTGTTCCCAGAAGGCAGCCAAGCCGAATGGCTAAGGAAAATGCACAGCGTGAAACTGAACAAAAAGAAAATTTCTGCAGCTGCTGAGAAGCTAACGACGATTTCAACCCTCGCTGCTGATGTAGATGTTGTAGCTTCTGCTGCTGCTGGTGCTGCTGTTGCGGTTGTGGCCTTCATTGCAGCGACATTTGCCACATTCGTATCAGTCGCGCGCCAGCGCTTCGGCGCTGAGCGTCGCAGAGCTCTAACAGTGACATATTCAATATGTGGTTAATCCATCAATCGAATCCTATCCATCTTGCAGAACTAATTAACTATGGCACGTACCAAGCAGACCGCCCGTAAATCTACTGGAGGCAAGGCTCCACGTAAGCAGCTGGCCACTAAGGCAGCCCGTAAATCGGCCCCGTCCACAGGTGGTGTTAAGAAGCCCCATCGTTATCGTCCCGGTACAGTGGCTCTGCGTGAGATCCGTCGCTACCAGAAGTCGACCGAGTTGCTCATCCGCAAGTTGCCTTTCCAGCGTTTGGTGCGTGAAATCGCACAGGATTTCAAGACCGACTTGCGTTTCCAGTCGGCCGCTATTGGTGCCTTGCAGGTGAGTAATGGCAAATGCTAATTAAATTGAAAATGAATAATATGAGTGTCTATCGCGATTGCAGGAAGCTTCTGAAGCCTATTTGGTGGGCTTGTTTGAGGACACCAACTTGTGCGCTATTCACGCCAAGCGTGTCACCATTATGCCCAAGGATATTCAGTTGGCGCGTCGCATCCGTGGCGAGCGTGCTTAAGCGGCAAGAAAGCAAATAATGATAACAAACAACAACAGATTACACAACAAATCACATTCATATTATATATACGTGCATAGTTTGATTAATAGTTTAACAAAATTCGTCAATTGGAGCTTGATTTCATTTAATATCTTACACAGCATAAATATAAAAACTATCTACATATAGAGAGCATTATTATATAACCACACGCATATAAAAACATAATCTATGAATATTATAATTAATAACTGTAATACTTATTATTATTATTATTATTATTATTATGATTATATTAGAATTGTATATTAGTTTTTTAAGTTTGTAGATCGCCCGCTGACCACATTGCGTCGGCAGTCGCCATCAAAACACGAACCTACGGTAGATGCCGTTGCAGCCAGATCGCTGGCATCGGGCCGCCATCTCGAACATCGCCCCTAACTCCAACAGCGCATGCAGCGTGCTGCCACAGGCAGTGTTGAACTCTAAGACGGCAGCGTACAGCAGTCCCCAACATCATCAATAACAACAACCAAACAGACAGAACCGAAAGAAGCTGCTGTACGTTCTCCGGCCGCCAAATCAGATCCTCGGGTGAGTGAGAGCAACGCTTCCTGTGGCAGCGCTTAAGCGTTGCATGTGCGGCAAGGTGGCGAGCGCGATGCCAGCGATCGTTGCAACTGTGTTGCGGCTGCCACATGGCGCAACGTGGACAGCGGGCGATCGGGCCAATTGACCAACATCGCAAATTGGCCAACAAACATTTCTTTGAACACATCAGAAATGAGTACACAAATAATACTGCATCTATTTTATATAATACTTTATTTTTTTTCACACATATATATATATAAATATAATTTTTTTGAGGAAACAACTTAAATGTGGAAAGAGGCCCATTTGGGCGTGGTAGTTGATTAAATAAGTTTTAGAATTACATGCATTTTATACGTTTAGGCAAAAAAGTACAGAAAACAAAAAATACGATAAAACAGAAAACACAGAATGATAAAAAAAAAAACAAACCATGCTAAATGACAACATCGTAAAATAGTATAAAATACATTCTTAAAATGTATACAATCTAAATATATATATATAAATGTATTACAAATATGATCTATTCTATATATATATACACTTAACTTTACATAAATGTTTATGGAACTTACAAGATATTCATACAATATATAACAGACAAATAACCCCTCCAATAATGCACTTAAACGTACAGACATTTGCATAGTTTGTTGCATTCAACACTGAAATACAAAAAACAAAAATACAATACAATATAAAATTTAATGTTTTTTAGCATACAATAGAAATCGTAAACAAAAAAAACAGAAACAAAAAAAGTCCCCAAACAAAAACTTAATAAACGGTTTTTTCTAGAGAAAAAGCCAAAAAAAAAAAAAAAAACAATTTTTGTTTTTCTTGTCTGCGGTACAGCTGCGACAAAACGTTAACTGGCGACGTAACAACTGTATCAATGTGTCTATACATGTGTGTTTGTGTGCCTGTAAAGCTCTGCGCGATTGACTGCAGTTATCAAAGAACAGGTGGCGCCATCTATGGGGCGCAGATGTTGCACTCTAGTCACTTTCACATGGCCGAACTATGCAGTTTCTATGCAGAATTTACAAAAGCTTCCAGTTATACCACAGATGACTTATAGTATAGCATATCTATTTAACCTTGAAAGCTAATCTAATACATAGTATATTTTTGTTGATAGTCATACTGTTACATTCACAACTTCATGTACATATATGTATATGTATGTATGTATGTATGTATATTTGTATCTTGATATAGCCTTACATGTAATTCTGTGTGATCTCAAATGAATACAAGAGCAAAGAGAAATGAGTTGTATTTCAACTAACCTAAAACAAATAGGATTAGTCACAACTGAAATAATGTAGATAAGAAACTCTTATAATTTGAATGTGACATTTATAAACCACTTAATTCAAATGATATGAGTCAAGTCGACAATCAAATGCTCTATAGTAAAGTATTTTATGTTAACCTATGGTAAGTATCTAATAAAACAGTTGCCAAAATACACATCTAGTGGTGCATTATATATAATAAATATGTTTTTTATTATAAAATCAATATTAAAGTTTTTAAATTCTATTTGAAATATATAGTTCATACACACAATATCTTCTACTGTTACCAAGCACGTGAAAAAGTATCGATGCTAAGCCGGAGAAGTGTATTGAAATAACAGCTGTTGAGTTGCCAGTTAGCCACAATGATTGGCAGCGCTGCCAGATCGTTTCCACACGTTGACTTGCGCAAATTGAATATTTCACACTCGTAAATATGGAAAGCAACAAGTTCGCCAAACTGCGGCAGCAATTTCTATGTTGCTATCCCGTCAATAAGATGGCCTGGTCGGTAAGTGGATATCGAGCACCTGTCAATTGGCAATTGTATTGGATTTATGTTCGTGTAGACGTTGCAACTGCCGCTGGAACTGGATGAGCAACGTGCTCTGATTGCGGCCACCTGTGGACATCCTCTTAATCAACAGTTTCCGGTGCGCCGCAGCTACCAGGAGGCATTTGTGAAGCGTCTGATGCATGTGCTCAAGGATCACGATGAGCTGCACGACGACATCTACAACAGCCTATGTGGCCAGCTGGCCAAAACCTCACTGGATGCAGCGCCAGCTCCTTCCATCTATGCCTATAAGCATTATATGCTGCAATCGGAGGAGCACATCACACTGCGCGAGTCCACGAGCTTCGTCTGCGAGGGCACCACTGGCCTCTGCACGTGGGAGGCGGCCTTGGCACTGGCCGACTATTTGCTCGAGCATCCCAGTCAACTGGAGGGCAAAAATGTGCTAGAACTGGGAGCAGGCACTGGACTGCTTGGCATTCTGCTCAAGCACAAGGCACTGAAGCTGCCCGTGGGCCAGGTGGTCATCACCGATGGCAGCAGCGCCTGTGTTAAGCTCATGCAAGAAAATATTTGCTTAAACTTTGAGAACGACAGCGACGAGGCAACGCCAAAGTGTGCCCAGCTGCGTTGGCATGAGGTCAAAGAGTTTCCCTGGTCGCAATACGCTGAACCCGATCTCCTGCTAGCCGCCGATGTCATCTACGATGACACGCAGTTCTCCTCGCTGCTTGCTGCCCTTGACTTTGTCTACGAAATGCGCAGCAATCGCTGCGAAGCGCTATTGGCCAGCACGGTGCGCAATGTGGATACCCTGCACAATTTTATGGTGCAGCTGGGTGAGTATTTGATGAGTCAATGAGTGCTTTATTTTTTGTATATTGATTATTTGTCCTGCAGAGCAACATGGATATCAGGTAACGCCCTGTGCCAATGTTTCGTGTTGCAAAAGTCATTTTTGCCGGGATACCACAGCGGCCGTACAAATCGTGTGCATTAAGCGTTTAAACTAATTAGTAATTAAACAATAGTAACATAAACAACAACAACAACAAGAATAGAAATGAAAGAAACTGCATCATTGGCTGATGGTTGGGATCGTGCCATCGTTTAGCCAGCGCACATTGAGCTGCTCGATCTGATGCTTCATAAAGATAATGCCATAGACCTCGTGCTGTATGTCCAGCAGCTTGGAGCGATGGGTGCGCGGCACCTTCATGCCGACGACCAGCGCCAGCAGAGATGTGATTATCATGAAGACAAAGCCCTGAGCAATTAAGGTGCTCTCGTCCTTGGTATAGAAATAGGAGTTCTCCACATTGGCCACGAAATAGTAGTAGACGACGCTGGTGCTGACCAGCTTAAGTGTGTAGGATGCAAAGATGATGCATTCGGTGAAGCGTAGGTGCGTCACTTCCAGCAGCACAATTTGGAGACTCGAGTAGCCCAGGCCAAAGAGCACCAGGAGTAGCCAGAAGGTCACCTTCGAGCCGGTCGCCCCATAGATAATCATGGCCAGCATTGTAAGCACCAGCAGCAGCAGCTGTGTCGTCACAAAGTGCACCTTGGCGGAGTAGAAGCACAGACAGATGATGGCCAAAACGCTGCCAGCAAAGATGACCCAGAACATGGCATCGATGTGGGCCAAATCATTCAGACGCATCGCATCGTTCAGGGCAAACCAGAAGACCAAAAATATGAAGAGTGCATACTGGATGGCCTCCACAAAGAGCAGCAGCAGCGTCACGTGCCACTGCTGATTCTTGGTCACGTAGAAGAACTGCAGCCGCTTGATCACATCCGACCGTGCCTCAAAGATGCTGCCATTCGCATTGGCGATTCGCAAATCGTTGTCCAGACTGTTGGTCATGTCCACCGTGCCCAGCACGTGCAGCACCTTCAGCCCAATGAGTATGGCCAGCATGACAATCGATATGGACAGATAGGTGGCCGCAAAGTTCACATAGATGCCATCGGCTAGCTGCTCCGGGGTCGCCGCTTGGCCCTTATAATGCTCCAGATTCTCCACATACTTGGCGCCAATCAAACTCACCGCCGAGGCAATGCCCAGCAGATAGCAGCTGCAGCAGCCAGATATCATCAAGGCGCGGCTGTTCTTCGAGCTGATTGTGTGCAAAAATCCATACCCGGCCACAAAGGTCAAACTGTGCGACACATACGACATATAGGCGCCCACATGATCTGCGATAGAACAATTTCCATTCGATCAGACCGTTGATGCAGCAAAGAGACGAACACAATTCACATGAGAGTGAAACAGAGAAAGAGGAAAAGAGACAGAGAAAGAGAGAGGGAGATGGGTAATTAGCATAAGCAAAGTAGATGAATTTAGAGTATATAATAAGACATTGAAATTATATGCTAAGACATTATAATCTATCTATTTACAATCTTATAATAATCAATTTATGCATTTGATTATGGCATTTAAAGCTAAAGCCTTTTGATATATGTATGTATGTACATACATATGTCTAAAACTTTTATTTGTATTAGCAAAAGCCTTGATTATTTTTTCCCCTCTCTCTAGTTGATTTTATACATGAATTTTAACTAAATAAATAGGAGCCAAATATATGTTTTATAAACTGTGTGAATCTTCTTGGTAAGATTTATATATGTAAATATATATAGTTAGGTGCAATACTCTTATAAGTTGTAATATATTTGATTTTATCTAGCATTTATATTCACTGTCATAAAAATTGTTGTTAATAAATTTTTTTTTTTTTAAATAAATATTTAAAAAATATTATTTTGCTGTTTCAGAATTGGAGACTAAGTTGTAATATCTTGAAACTTATATGGCCCTCAGTTGTAGAGCTGCACTATTCCTGAGGATTTATGCTTTTATAACCGTTAGGTTATTATAATACGATATGGTTTTATAGAAATGTATAATGTAAATATTTGTGTATATTACAAGACTTCACCATTTCCAAGATATTAATTTTCTGGCAAAACAATGTTGAAGAAATTATATATTTGGATAGATCCTCCCTAAGGACTCTATTACGTTTATCAGTAAAAATTGAGTAAACTTTGTTTATGTATATTTTAAAAACATTGAAATTGATCGAGATTGCCCAGATATTGGAAGTTAATTTCAATTAAATGATCTATAAATTAAAAAAAATATTTTCTCTTTAAATTAAGAATTGTATTGAAAAGATTTTAGTAATGTAAGCCAACTTCTAATTTTTCTAATGAATAACCAAAACTATACAATATATTAAGTATATATTCTATATACCCAATTATGTCCCCCCGCAATTAGAATGAAAACTCACCAAGGCCATCAGCAAAGTAAAAGCAGCTGGAGATTAGATGGAAGACGCCTGCGACCATGAGGATGAAGGGGTGCCAGTAGACGATGCAGTGCTTGATATACTTGATGACCAGGATGCCGGCGGCGCAGAGCAGAGCCAGAGAGGCGCCCAGTATCAGGGGGCCATAGTCAATGAGGTCGACGCTCAGATTCCGATCGGCCACAAAGGAGCAGAGCGTGTAGCCAAAGATCAGACCGCAGGGCAGGAAGCAGAGGCAAACTGCGCAGAAGAATTGGATTAGATTAGTCGTGCTTTATATAATGAATCTTCCGGCTGTCTGCTGTCACTCACCCACATAGCTGGGGGCGTATTTGAAAAATTTGTGCACACAGGTGCTCCATAAATTCGTCATTTTCGTGCGAAATTTGTTCGATATGCGTGACAGTCTAATGCATAATTGTTGAGTCGATATACTAATTTAATTGTTTCTCTATTGGCTATAGTTTCGCTGTGGGCCAGCTAATGCCAGCGTCGACGATGGGAGCGCGAGTGAGCCCAGTTAGTCAAGTGTCAAATCAGTCGGCGTTGATGCCTCTGATTAGATAAGGGCATACAATGAGGCAGCACCTGCATGATGACTAATCTCAACTAGAATGATATAGGGGCCCCGACGTGGATAAACAGATGCCAACGTTCGCTGATAACGGGACAGTTAAGCGGCTTTTCAATTCAAATTTATTAACAGTTGCCCCACAAGAAAGAGCGAGAGAGCGTGTGAGAGAGAGAGAGAGAGACAGAGGGAGACAAGTGAAAAGCTTCGAAGCAGCTGATAATTAGCTTAATCTCTTTTATTTCCTTGGCTCTAGCTCTGATAATGCCCGTAAGCACCGGCAGCTAAAAGCTCCCCCGAGAGCGTGTAAAGTGTGCGCTGCTTAAGTGGCACAAAAGCCCACCTAAGCGCCCATTCACCCATCAACATCTGCTCCCATCTGCGTGGGCCCCGACGGGTGGGTGGGCACTTGTTTGTGGGGGCTTTATCAGTTTGTTTACTTTTGAGCACAAGCCTGCTCAAGGGTTGTGCATGAGAGGCACACTGAGAGAGAGATAGAGAGAGAGAGAGAGATTGCAAGTATACAGAATATGAAGATTGTCTCAAGTTTTACGAACTCTCTCTGATAATAATAAAATTTCAATAGTTAAGGTACCCTCATAAATGCGCTATAGAGCTTAGGACAAAAGCTGCAATAAAACTAAAAAATAAAATAAAAAATAATAATAATAATAATAATAAAAATAAAATTATTTAAGGTATATTTAAAAAAAAATTTGATTGAAAAAATGTTTAATATTTATTAGGAATTAATGCCATACTTCTTTATCTAAAAATCATGGAAAGTGTGTACTATAACTTTATGAAATATTATATAAATAAAATTCGGTTCTAAATAATATTAATATACTTAATAAAATATAAAAATATAATGTCAAAGAGAATGAAATATGCCAAGAGATGAGAGAAAAGAAGCCAAGATGAAACTAGAACATGAGCAGCAAATGAGTAAAAACAATTGAACAGATAAGAGCAAATACAAGAAAGAAAAAATAAATTAGCGATAAGATTGATATTCTTTGTGATTTCTTAACAAAACTTTCTAGTATTAGAATGCTGCTTGAAATTTGATCAACGTATAAGTGGAAAACAAATGATAAGCTTTAATTTTTAAATGAAAATTTAATAATCATATTTCGTAAATTAAATTATCATTAAATACTTGGCAGCCATATGAACAAAAATAAATAGCCAGCACAAATCAGTGACGTCATGCGAGAGTCGAGAAAAAACTGTTGCCTACCTTTTGGGGCAGCCAAAGGACCGAGTGCAACAAGACATACAAGTCATATAGAGAAACGAAGTGAGTGAGAGAGTGTGAGAGAGAGACAGCTGGCGTGTGAGAGCTTGCGTTTGCGCTTGTCAATCCAGCCGACGACCCAGTAACAAGGACTTTGTTTCCTTTGCCCGCCTGCTATCACTTCCGGAATTTCGCTGTGCCGAACAACAAGAACAGAAACTTTGCATACGAGTGCCGTGGCTAAAGGTGCAGGTGAATTCGTTGGTTATTGAATGATGGTTATCGCATTGTAGGATCCTGAATGCTGCCGCTGGGCTGTAGCCAATCCTGATTTATCCGCGAAACATGGCACCAAACTATCTACAAAGCGGCTAAACTGGCCAACGGCTCTGAGTGAGTGTTTGTGTATATTTGAGTACCGGTGTGGTTGTGTGTGTGTGTGCGTAGGCGTAAGTGGCCGTGATTGTGTGTGTCTGTGTGTGTGTGTGTGCAGCGCAATGTATGTGAGCATCTGGTGCCACAGCTTGAACCTAAGCAGCCGCAGCCTGGCCATTGTCCTGGTGGTCTGCGTGACGCTCGTCTACTTCTCGTACAGCTTCAATGCCTGCCTCCTGGCCAGCATCAGTCGCACCCTGCAGCAGGTGAGTCGCCCTGAAGATTGGTAAATCTCTTCAGCTGAAAATCTCCTCACCTTATCTCTAGCAGAGCAACCTACGCAATTTGCTGACGCTGCAGCAGCGCAACGCTAGCAGCGAAGCGGAGGCCAACAGAGTCAGCAATGCCAGCAGAAGCTCCAATGGCAACTCCAACTCTAGCACCAGTGCTGGCCCCAGCTCCAACTCCAGCTCCAGCTCCAGCTCCAGCACGACAGCTATCTTGAATAGCACCGTTAGCAATGGCATTGCCAGCGTCGATGGCGCGCCCAAGTATCAAATGCTGCGCCAGCAGGGCCTGCGTCCCTCTCGCCATCTGCCCGACACGCTGATCATTGGCGTGAAGAAGAGCGGCACGAGGGCCTTGCTGGAGTTCATACGGCTGCATCCGGATGTGCGCGCCGCCGGCTCCGAGGTGCACTTCTTCGACAGGCACTACCAGCGCGGACTGCGCTGGTATCGCCACCACATGCCCTACACCATCGAGGGCCAAATCACCATGGAGAAGACGCCCAGCTACTTTGTCACCAAGGAGGTGCCGCAGCGCGTTTACCATATGAACACGGCCACCAAGTGAGTGCTGAGACTGTAGGTCTCCTCTGAAAAAAATTATATATATGTAGTGTTTATGGTATATATAGAAAATGTAGTATATACTGGGAGAGTGTGGGTCCAATATGATGCTGACAATAGTTTTCGAAGCACTAAGCAATACTTTCCAAAAGGGACTTTTATCTATATTAAATAGGTAAACGCATATCTATATTGATCCATGATATGATATAGATTATCAACCAAATTAAAGATTTTTCCAGTGGAATTTCAATTTCTTCCATTGAGAATGTCCATATAATAATATTTTTTGTCTTTTATGGAGATTCCCAGCATTTGCTTTATAATATCTAAAACTTGGCTTAGAATAGAGTTTAAGCTATTCAAAATCGGTCAAATATATCTAAGAGTATGTATTTTTGCTGATAGATGTGCTTTAAGCATGGTAAATAACTGTTGCTCGATATATAATTATAAATGATTTGTTTGGTGATACTCTAAGAAAAACTGAGTAGATTTGGCAACCGATTGACTCGGGCTTTCAATGATTTCGTTCGCAATTTTTTTCGCTGTGGGCTTTTCCCCGACTTTATAGAGTTAAATGAATCAAAAAGTCTTTTGTATATGTATGCATGCATTGGTATGCATGCGTGAGCTATGTTCGCTAAGCACTATATACATAGTTCGAACTCAGTACGAACTTAGTAATCAGTCGTATCGCTCGCTAGAGCTCAAGAGAAAAAATAAATGAATATAGCCGAAGCGAGTGGAAATGTCATTCTACATACATAGATTCTATCAGTATATGGTAAAGCATGTTTCATGAAGTCTCTGAAATGATAGTTAAGTACACAGAATCAGAAATCCTTCCTATCACCACCAAAAATCCTCTCTAAAATTGTTCAATTCTTGCAGCACTTAGCACAATATAGTAACTAAATTTTATATACGTATGTAATTATACCCAAAAATTTTTTCTCTCTCTCTGTGTTTCTCCGCCTTCCCTTTCCATCTAGACTCTTAATTGTGGTGCGAGATCCGGTGACTCGCGCCATCTCGGACTATACGCAGGCGGCCAGCAAGAAGGCGGACATGAAGCGCTTCGAGCAGCTGGCCTTTGTTAACGGCAGCTACTCGGTGGTGGACACCAATTGGGGACCGGTCAAGATTGGCGTCTATGCGCGCTACTTGGAGCACTGGCTGCTGTACTTTCCGCTGTCGCAGCTGCTCTTCATTAGCGGCGAGCGATTGATCATGGATCCGGCCTATGAGATTGGACGTGTTCAGGACTTTTTGGGTCTGAAGCGTGTGGTGACCGAGAAGCATTTCTATTTCAATGCCACCAAAGGATTTCCCTGTCTATTCAAATCGGAGGCACGATCCACGCCCCATTGCCTGGGCAAGACCAAGGGTAGGAATCATCCGCATATCGATGCCAATGCAATTGAACGGCTACGGGAGTTTTATAGGCCGTTCAATAATAAGTTTTATCAACTGACTGGCATTAACTTTGCCTGGCCCTAAACACAGAGAAGGAGATATGGCTAGAGAGAGAAAGAGAGAGAGAGAGAGAGAGGGAGAGAGATGTTGTTGCTGCGGTATTTGGCAACAGACTGATATTGTTGATTGCATTTTTTTATACATACCATTGTTCTTATACATTGAAGATATATACACCCAATTATATATACATACATATATAGTGTTTGCATAGCTATGCAAAGAGAAAGATACGTTACGTAATCCTGTGACGTCAGTGCTCAATTAAATGCAACAATACAACAGACAAATCGAACAATACTCACACTATAAAACGGTTCCTTCTCTCAACGCACACACGCACACACTAATACATGGCAACAACTACAAACTCCTACTATATACATACATACATACATATATGAACGCATAGACAAATAGAGCTTAATATGAATTCCTGCAGAGTATGAGCAGCTAATTGAACAGAGAGCTACGCCTCCACATCCTAATCTAATGAATTATTACATATGCAATACATATAAATGAAATGTACTGATAGCATTCGATTAGGCACAGCACATGCACACACATAATCCCTACATTTAAATGATATGCAATTTATACATATATACAACTACAAGTACATCTACATCTACATCTACATCTATATATACATATATATTATATATATGCATAGCTCAAGATCTAAATTGCATGTTACGAAATGGCCTAGCTGAACAAATTTCAATTATTACAATTTAATAAAAATATTTGATAAAAAATTAAAAATTATTTATTTCATATTATTATAATTTATAAGAACAAAAGTGTTTGAAGCTGACGAAGAGATTTGCATAGATATCAAACAAGTTACTTACAGAGCTATAAAGCTATTCGACACATTTTTAGTTCATTTCAATGTGATATCTTATAAGGCTCTCATATAAGAATATTTATTATCTATTAGCATCTGCTGTCTTGCCTAAAATCCAGCCACACCGCCAATTTTACGATAGTCCGAATTGATGGCAATGCTCTCGTTATCCTGGGCAATGCCACAAATGACGGAGCCACGATTGCGATAGCGCTCGCATTGATGTCCTTTGGCCACGAGGCTGTGCACATGGACCTGCAGCATACCGTATTCATACTGCAGCACATTGGGCAGCATCTGATGATGGAATCGGCTGGCATCGATGGCCGTCTTGATGCTCGCTCGTTGCCAAAGTATGCGAACTAGCAGAGGCACAAGAGCCGATATGATCTTTGTGCCACCAGCTGCGCCAACAACCAAACGAACTTGTCCGCTCGAACGCTCCGTGACAATGATCGGGCACATTGAGGACATGGGACGGGCTGCGGCTGATATCATATTCGTGCCATCGATATACGGCAAATCAAAGTAGTTCTTTAGCTGCCTCATGGAGAAGTCGGACATGGCATTGTTGAACAGCACGCCCGTGCGCTTGCCCATGCGCCCGCTGCCGAAACTGCAAACGAGATACGAATATGAGAAAGTCTTCAAATTTATATAGATCTCTACACTCACTAAAAGTTAATGGAACTGGTAACCGATACAGCATCATTATTGTGCAGTACCGAAATATGCGATGTGCCATGCTCATCACGCGACTGTATATCGCCAGATGCTCCGTAATGTTCCGAATTGTTATAGGTTCTAGCATGATCTATCAGCTTGGCAATGCGGGCGGCAAACTCTGGGCTTGTCAGTTTGACCAGCAGCTGGAAGGCAAATGTTTAATGAGGATGATAATGATCCTTCAAGACTCGGCTACTTGTTTGTAAAAGTTTGTATAAAGTGTACTTGCTCATAACATAAACAGAGATAGCAAATAACTATCTTGATCTTACAAGAAAGACAGAGAGAAAAGAGTAGATCTATCTCTCTCTTACGTGTGAATCAGTAAGATATTGCTCACCTCTTCATCAGCTTTATCGTCCAATTGCCAGCGCTGCACAAAGCCAAATTTAAAAGCCTCCACAATGCGATGAATTGCCAAGGCATCTAAATCGTCTCCTGCTGCAAAGTCTGCACGATAGGCATGCAGAATGTTCATGATGAGGCCAAGGATATGACCGCTGCCTGGTGGTGGCGTCAGGTGCAGATCATACTCATCCAAGGGTATGACTATCGAATCCCTGAGCTCAGCTTGGGCGTGCCTCAAGTCTTCCTTGGTTATGGCGCTGCCAATGTCCTGTAAGTCGGCGAGCAGCCTTGTCAGCAACGTTCCTTTGTAGAAGCTGCGTGGTCCTCCTACAGATAATTGCGCATACGTATCGCACAGCTGCTTGGGCGGTTGGATGTGATGGCCAATGGGCCAGAACTGATTTGTCACCGGATCCACAAACATTTGACGCAACAATGCATCGCTCTTGATCATGTCCGCATTCAATATGAGCGCATCGTACTGATGTTTATAGAGCGAATAACCGCTGTGGCATAGAGAGAGCGTTGGCCGAACCAATTCCGACCAGGACAACTTGCCAAAACGCTCGTGGGCCAAGGCGTAGCCCAACAGTTCCGTGGGCACAGCAATCGACCAGCCGGACTGCTTTAACTGCTGTTCGCTCACAAAAGCCGTAAAGTTGTCCGCGTGCAGAGAGCGTGGTGCCATCTCTCGACTTAGGATCGTATACGCCCGTCGCTCGCTGTGCATATAAATATTCATAATCATGCCGCCGCCGAGTCCCATGCTTTGCATACCAATGAGTCCGTTGCAGAGCAAGGCAGCCAGTGCAGCATCAACCACAGTGCCTCCAAGCAGCAGTGCATCTCTACAAAAAAAAAATACATGAACATAGGAAATTATATAACTTATAGGGCCCCGTACCTGGCCATCTGACTGCAGGCTTCATTATCTGTGGCTATGCCAGCCCGCTTGAAGTGGTGCAGCGGAGAACTGGAGGCCGGCAGGCGTTCCTCAGGGTCTGGTGGAGTTCTCGCTGCATTACGTTTGCCTGCCATGCAAATCATTGACTATTTTAATAAAATTTTATTCAATATTTTTAACACTCACCGCTCCTTGCCGCAGGACTATATGCATATATCGCAATCAGCACACAAACAAAGGCCAAGCCAAGCACAATTCGATTAAAAATCCATTGCCAGTGCATAGCGCTTCAGTTTATTCATGCTTTCATTCATATTTTATTGCAATTTGTCGCATTTTGTGTTCGTTCTCCACTCGACTCAAAATGTAAATAACACACAGTTAACTATCGACCTATCGATATTTGAAATTAATCATTAGAAAACTTTGTGCCAAAAAAGTACTCATTCAATGAACAATCGATACTTTTGGCGGTATTTTGTGAGATTCAAATTAAATTGAAGAAAATTTCAGAATTAAATGTAAGAATTAATGGATAGAATTTTTCTCAAATGTATAAATAAAAATAAAAATAAATAAATATATATAGATAAATAAAAAAGTATATAAATTATATAGTTTAGTCTAGGTAACAATATATATGAATAAATAATATATATAAAAAAAAAAAAATAAAATAAAATATATAAATATATATATACATAAAAATAAAAATAAATAAATAAAAAAGTATGTATATTGTATAGTCTAGTCTAGGTAACAATATAGTATATCGTTTAATTTAAAAAACTTATTTACTATATATTATATAGTTATCTTTATATACAAATTATATAGCAATCTTTCAGCATATTTGCATCTGAATATAGCAATGTCCAATCAAATCAAGTATTTACATATATATAAAGTTTGCATGATTTGAAAGCGATTTATTCATTGTGTATTCGTAAAAAGTTTTACTTTTGAAAATAAAAAAGGTTTTGCCATGAGCTTTACAGTTGTAAATGTGAACTAGAACACAATCCACATCATTTCTGCTTTGTAGTAAGAGCAACAGCAAAAGTCTGCTTGCATCAATGTTGAAGAGAGAAGAAAGAACATCTACATACACATAATATATATATTTGTAAATTTTTATTTTTATATATGTATAAATAATTGAAGTCGTGACGGTATTAAATGCTGTCAGTTGGCAGAGACTTAATAAATAAAAGTTATGGCACCTTTTGTAATTGGATTTTCTTTGGTCACCAGCAATGCCAACGTTTCCCATATTCGCAAGAATTGTAATTGATTTGTGCATCCGCTTGCCGTAGAGCAAATCTGCAAAATATGCACACTACATACATACATGTGTATATATATATGTAATTGTATTTAAGTACATACAAATCAACACGAGTGTGAATGAAAATTTAAAAGCCATAAATCTTGCGTTTTTATATCGCACTAGCGTGGCAATCAAATTAACGGAGCAGAAGAGCTTCATCAAACAGGAAGAGGAGACGGTCCGGTTCGTTGATCGTTCGGCTCATCTGGGATTGCAATGGATGAATGGAACTTCTCCCTCTCTTCTTCTCCCGCTCTCTATCTGTGTGTGTGTGTGAAGATTGGAAGTGGTTGGCATCTCGTCTGCCAGCATGGCCAACTAATTCGAGCACGCGTCTCAAACAACTCTCGCATGTATGACGAAATGTACACGGCAAATGCCTCTATCATGGCACCTGTCAGACGTCAGCGACGGCTTAACAGCTTAAATGACTCAACCGGCAGTGCACAGAGATAGAGTGTGAGTGTGTGTGTGTGTGTGTGAGAGGGTGGGAGAGGCAGCAGGAGGTAGCTGCTGCTCCAGATTGTCAGCCTCGTCAACACCTTGGCAGCGACAACAACTCAACCCAACATAATTTGCCTCAAGTATTTGTATGTGATGTTGTATTTATTTTTAATAACACTCTGCAGCAAAATTATTGAAAATAAATTGGCTTTGTGCATATATACTATATATATCTATATGGCATATATACATATATATGCGTATGATCTTGGGGTATATTTTGGTAATAATTGTAGATTGTTTCTTTCTCACTTCCTCTTGGTCACTCACTCTCACTCGCTAATAAGTAATTCTCATTTTCGGCAATTGTGTTTTATTCTCTCTATTCTTATTAATATTATTATTATTCTTTGACTTCATCTATTTATTTCATTACCTTTTTTATTCACCCTTTCTCTTCATATCTGTTTATGTATTTTAGATTAACTCCTTTGCTCTCTTTCTCTCTCACACCTCACTCATTCGACTTCCCTTTCTTACTTCCTTTCTTACTCCTTTCTCTCTCCCTCTCTCTCTTTCTATTCGCCTTCCTCTTTTTCCTACTCCTTTTTTTCTTCCTCTCTCTCATTCTTTCCCGTCTTCTTCTTTCTATTACTGCCCCTCACATTGTAACTCTACAGTCGATCGCCTTACTATGCGATTCTCATCGATTTATTCATTTAAATTCTTGCCTTTCACAATGTCTCCAGCATGACTTCATTTGTACCTTGTCCACTAGATGCGTCGCATGTTGGACAGTGTTGTGAACAAACGTTGACAATGTTGCCGGTGATGTGCAGACGGCAGGTGCAAACAGGCGCATTGCTGGAATTGCCTTTTAATTGTCTTTGGCTGCTTTGATGTTTGCTGCCGAGTAGAGTCCGTGGCATAAAAAGTTGATGCAGTTAATCTGGGCAGGCTTAGCGGGCGCTTTTCTACCGACTGTCATCGATTGCATCTCTTCTCGAGGCAGGCACGCTCCACGACACTTCACGAGCGTTTCCAAAAACGAAGAGGAAAACAAAAATTAAAATAAATAAAACTCGAATAGGAAGAAGTAGAAGTAGTGCATGCTATGCTAAGAGTGGGGCAACCGCGTGGGCTGGGGGGAGTTCCTATGCGTGTCGCTCGAGCAAGTGAAAATATTTTGTTTTTCGCGCGTAGATCCCGATCCCAAAGACGACGATGACGGCGACGTCGACGGCTGTTGCTGCTGCTGCCTCTCCTGCTTCTCCTGCTGACATGTTGTCGAGTTTTATTTTTAAGGGACGGGCCCACCATTCCACAACAATTGCGACGCATTCGCTGTTGTTGTTGCTCTGTATTTATAGACCTGGCCCTGAGGCCGTTTTCACAGTTGGCTTCATTCAATGGCCCTGCGGCTCACGTCCAGCGGCAGCGACTCCCTGATCTTTTGCATGTGTCGACGCCCCTTCGTTTGTTCCATTTAATGTGCCCGCTGTTAGTCGGAATAGTTGCCTCTACTTGTACAACATATTTTACTTTAATTGCGTTTAATTTGAAAATCACAAACATTTGGTGCTCACTCACTCTAGTTCTCCTTCTCTCCCCCTCTCTCTCTCAACTATCTGTCTCTCTTCGTCTGCACATATTGATGTCTTGCTGATTTGTTAAGTTCAGCGGTTCAAGTGAAAACATTTTAGAATGCCGACCACGGCTGTGTCAAACGTAAATAGCATTCGAGATTACAAACCTCAGATATAAATCAGGCTGGCTGCAAATGTAATGCCAAGAGGCGAACCTGATATATGTTGTATAGCAAACGGAATTAGCTTTCATTTTGTATACCCTGAATTTTTAATTGCTTATAATAAAACCTTCGTGACTTCTATTCACTTATTTCTATGAATCCAATTAATACGGAAAATTCGTTGTTTATAGATCAATATGAACGCAACTTTGTTTTTCTTTACAAAAATTATGTTATTATTTTTTTTGTGAATAAATTTATGTTTAAGTTAAATAAATGGAGCTTCCACAGCTGAATGATGTATTATTATTTAATATTTATTTATTTATTATTTATTATTTATTATTTATTATTTATTATTTATTATTTATTATT